ATCTCCTTACGAGCCTCAGCGGAAGTGGGTAAAGCCTTGCCAAAAGGGAAGGGCACTGAAGGGCACGTTAAAACACAAAGATGATGCCTTAAGGGAATGCCTTTAAAGTGTTCTTTATACCATACTGCTGGAGTTTGAAAGATGCTCTTCATCATGCTAAAACTGGTGTATCTAAACAGAGTTGCAAGGTGTCTCTAAACTCTTCACAACCTAATCAGTGCATATTTGTGAGAAAACCTACAATGTTAAAGATATTTTAAAAACCACTTCAAAACAAGCTGCAGTCCTTGCCTGTCTTTGAAATTTAAATTTAAGGTAGGGTTTTGGCTAGACTTTTGATAGTCTTTCTATGCGCTGGAAGCTTTTCCCTTGATAAGGCAGATACGCTGTTCAGGCACGTCGTTCATGGGAACGGGATGCTCCTGGAGTCCTGCAAGGATGGGAAGCACCTTCTTCTGAAAGATCATATTTTCCTGTGATATGCTGGCCTTTGGAAAAATAACTCTTAGGGTTGCTCCTTTTACGTCTTGCCCTTTTTTTTTTTTCTTCCAATTTAATACCAATAAAACAGTGGGTTATTTCAACACAGCAGTGTTTGAATAAGCAGTTTAACCAGACTTATTTATATATCTTACACTCCTATTGCCTTTTGCTATTGAAAATAATAGGCTCATTTTACTCTAAAAATTCTCTGAATCATTTTGTTAGGTGAGTCATGAAAGAATGAAAGAGAAGAATCTCGGTACTCTTTTAATCTTTCTTTCCCAAGTATAGTAACACTGTCAGTAGAGCTTGTGGAGGAGTGGTGATAAATGAGGGCTGTTTAACGCCATGGACGTACCATCCAAATCTTGTTTTGGCTTAGAGATTTCAGGTGGAATAGTTGAACACAATGAGTAGGACTGATCTACTAAAATCAAGCTCTTAAAAATTGCGCCTCCATGGATTGCATCTACAAGTATTTTAATAATGCAAACTGTATTTTCTGTTATGCAACTTCAACACACAGCTGTTAGTTTTCCCAGGCTTACAACAAAAAAGGCAATGTGTTTCTAATATTGCATGGTAACTCTTAGAAAGGTGTAAATTAACTGTTTTTTTCTTTCTGTCTCTGGAGAAGAGATAATATATCCTATACCCAATGCTTAAAATTTGCAGTTTCAGAAGGAGAAACAAAAAACGTATTTTCTGTACCTTTAGAAATGCCTGATTGTGCTGTGTTTTCAGTGGCCAAATTTCATTAAACATGAACTCAAAGGCTGTGCTTAAACTGCAGAACTGTGTGTGTGCCTTTTAAAATTAGTGGAGGCAAATCACCAATTCATGCAGTAAGATTATAAGAGATTAAAAAAAAATCTACTGGACACTTCCAGTTTTTACTCACTGGGGGATATAGGTACTTAGTATAGGAAAATGAACAAAAAGCAAATTCTTCACTTTAGAACAGGTCAGATGGTTTCAGTTCTTCCTTCCTCTATAGACATTAGTTGGAGTTCTACTGCATGCGCCCGAGTTGTTCAACTGGTCTTCTCCCCCTCAGAAACAAATTGCCTTAATTACAAAACAGCACGCTGCTCCCATAATAACCCATTTGTGCTTCTGCTGGTCTAATGAACCGAATGAGTGTATAAGTAGAAAGACATGAATTCTATTATTCGCATTGTATTCAAAGTACTGTGTGTTACGCACAATTTGATTTATTGGACGTGGGGGCATTTAGGAATGAAATTCTCTACTCCTAAATGTGTTTGAACATCAAAACCAACTTTCCCTTTGGAGAGGGAATTGGCAGCAAGTAATTCCATTATGCATTACATCTCTAATGTAATCCTAAAATCCTCCCTAAAGCTCTTATTCTACTCTATTAAAATGAAAGAATGAATTGTTTAGTCTTTGTCCTGAATGATGCCAATATTAATTGTTGAGTGGCTTTGAATATTACGTAGCTCCTCGTAAAGACTGGTAGCACAAGAACTTGTGAATCAAGACTGTATTTTGTAATACATGATGACAGATTCACTGAAGACTATGGTGTTTTGTAATGTGACTGAACAAGTGGCTTTGGTCTTGGCTGCCTGGGAATCATTTTGTCTCTGGATACATATGCATGTATGATCCCTGTTAAATATGAGAAAAACTTAAGGAGAAGGTCTTAAGGTTTCCTTATCTAAATACTTTTAACCCCAAGAAAAAGCTCTATAATAGGCTGTGCTTCTTAATAAGAAATGTTACAGTGAAAACCTGTGTGAGGATGAATTCCCAAGTACAGATCAGTAGCCATGTGGCTCAGTCATGGGTCTTTTGAGAGTATGGATAACTCCCATACAGTATGATTTGTTCTAAATAAATTTATTGACATTTATTCTAAGAATCTGATTTCAGGGTAGGAAATGCAGTATTTCAGTTTTTTTTTTTTTTTTTAATGTATGTAATACCACAGGTATTGTATAGCCAGAACTGGATAGCTACAACTTAATAGACAAATGCTGTTATTTACCTCTCTTGGTAAGTCTGAATTCAGTCTTTGGCTTGTTTATCTAGATCTAGTTACCGCTCTGGCCAGACTGTCAAAGGGAAGTTTGGCACAAAGCAGTCCAGGACAGTGTTCTGTCTGTGACAGTGGTTAGCTGATAAGATAATTGGGAGAGGGCAGGAAGGAGGCAGAATAACATGATAGAACAAGGGCATCTTAACCAAACAAAACCAGAATGTGCTCTCCAGTCTAGCTGCAATTGCCAATGATGCAATAAATGTCTCTAGTGCGTTAGCTTAAGTCTTTATGGAAATAACTTTTCCTTGGCTGTATGTAACTCTGCATATAGGAGACAACTTGGTTATAGCCCCGGTGAAGGGAAGGAGGTAAAAAAAACTTTTAAGTCGTCTGCTGGGTTCTGAACTTTTAGAGTACTTACTACTTAAGCAATAACACTTAAGACTAGCTTATTTGTTACTCCATATACCTTTTAAATTGGATTTGTTTTGAGACATAATTATATAGAATATCTAGTACTACTTACTCATGCTATGGAAGAAATATCCAACTTCCCTGTGGAAGGGAACTGGGTGTTGGGATAAGTTATTTCTTATTTTGAAAGAACTACAGTTGCTGTACCTTCAAGTAGACTGAAAATGATTGAAATGGAGATTAAGTGCCTGAGAATAAATGATATTTAAAGTGACGTTTTGAAAGACATAAAACAATCATTGTCTTCTAGATTTGAGATTAGGCAAAGTACGTTTCTCCGCTATTTATTTTTCTTTTGAACTTACTGATTTACCATAAAATTATCTGAAACTTTCATCTAGCTTTTAGTTATAAAAGGTGTAGCAAGCACCTTAAATACTTCAAACGCTTTAAAAGTTGGATTATCTTTTGGGGTTTACAACTTACATGCAAACATGACTTCTTTGTTTAGACCTCCACCTCGCTGCTGAGCTTGGGAAGACGCTACTTGATCGTAACACTGAGCTAGAAGAATCTTTACAGCAAATGTATGCAACGAATCAAGAGCAACTGCAGGAGATAGAGGTAAGTATTTGACATACCTATGCATTAAAGCATCCAGATTTGCATAGAAGTTTAAATCTGTGTTTTCCAAGGAAAACAATGAGCCATCTCTAACAGCTTTTGATAGCTTGAAAATCTGAAAACCTGTATAGGCTTAATCATAAATATAACTGTGTGTCAGTGAGTGCAAGCTTGTCATCGAATTTACTGTTGGATTTGATTTGTTTAACGACAAATGACAAGTATCTGTACAAAATCTACTTTAGGAATTTGCATTTTTCTGTACATACTAGATAAAGTTAAATGAAAGTATATGAAAATGTGAATAATAAATATTTCACATTAATATTTAAATTCATTATTTAAATCTAACTGCTTTAAAAGCTAACTACAGGAAGGAGATCTAAGTAAAATCTGTGCATTTATACTGCCAGTAAAGAACTGTGGTTTGACAAGGGAATTGAAATCAACTTCATTAAAAGAAACTCCAGCAAAAAGAAATACTTTATCAGTATCTAAATACAGGATGTAGTGGATTCTTTTGTGTTTGCCTGGGAAAAATCATAACCAGCCTTTCAAAGACACTTAGTTTTCTTTTTTTTTAACTGACAACATACTGAAAATGTACTCAGCATTTCAGTCAAGTTTTGGTGGGAATCAAAGGCAGCAGGTTGTGACTGTTGCACATTGAATTCTTATGAAATTTTAGAATCCATTGGTGCAAGTAATACTTAGATTTATGGTCTGTGTGTGGCCTTTGTACAGCTGCAACTTGAACTTGAATAACCCTTATAACAACTGCAGGTAACCTTTTTTTTTTAAAAAAAAAACCTCTCCAAGCTTGAAACTGGGTGCTTAAAAAAATCAAGTTAATACAAATACAGCCTTTTTATTAGGTAATACACAATCTTTGGGTAATGCTTTTTATAAAATAGTTATTTTTATACCCTATAGTCTGTCTTTTCCCACTACTATGTGCTAGGCATTATTTCCATTACTCTGTTCATTCTGTGACGCAATGGTTGGAATGGCCTAAATGTATGTTAATGCCACAGCATTTAAAAAAAAGTATGTATTCAGAGATTTTAAGTAACTTGTGGTCATAACTTTTTTTTTTTTTTTTAATGGAAAGATTGGTCCTTAGGATCTAGAGAACAGAAGGATTTGAAGTTGCTATAAAATACTGCTCTACTTAAGATTTAGCTCCTATATGGGTGGTTGCTTTTAAGGAAATGTTTAATGCAGTTAAACACTGGAAATATGGAGAATAATCTAACGCAAATTAACAATAATGTATATAAATAATCTAGTGCTATTCAGGATGTAGTTTTCTGTTTGGGTTAAGCCAGTTCATCTGTTTAAGCTTTTCTTGTGGGTTAGTGCTCATTCTCTGCATGAGAGCGCCTCGAAGTGCCTTTCCAG